TTGAATTGGATGACTACATAATCTAAAAATTTAAACCATTAAATAGGAGATATATTAAGTAATGAGATATCAAGAATCTAACAAATTATTGAGTTAGACATGACTTGATAATTATTAGAAGTGGTAAACAGGCTTCGTCGTCTACCCTGAATTGGAGAGACTCCAAATACACCAGCACTCGGTTCACTTGTCTCTTAGAAGCGTAGTGAAAAACACAGCATTTTTTACTTATTTCAGAAATCATCATCTTATTTTCTAGTTTCTGGCGTTCAGAAAGTCTTTTTCAGTGATCTATAGAACACAAATTTTATGACTGCGATTCCTCTTATCTGGTTTCTTGATATATTGGAATAGGGAAATAATGACTTAACTTAGCATGTCAAGCATTGTACAAGAGAGTTGGACATTTTCAGGTTTATCTATTAACTCGTCCTTTTGCTAGGGTGGATCTAGTTAGGCCCGAGGGGTGGTACGCCACCCGCAAGCTTCGGTCGAAACTCTATGCATATATATTTAAAGTGCCACCTATAGTAATAGATGATACAAAGGTGTCAATGGCAAAGGATCGGAGATTATGCCTAGGTTGTGAAGGATCAAACCCCAGTGGCAATAGTTTTTGGACCTTTTGGAGCTTGCTACATCACGTCAAGTTTTCTATGATTCTCTCTCTCTCTCTCTCTCTCTCTCTATATATATATATATATATATATATATATATATATAGGGAAATTAATCTTTTTTCTTCTTCTTAATTATTACTAACTATCTTAGTTTTTGTTAACTTTTGAATTTCTTTTTGTGTCTCTTATTAGTTAAGTATTTACTATTTTCACACAAAGTTAAAATAACATTTTCTTTTGATGTCGTTCAATCATAACCATAGTACTATAGTTTTTTGTTCAATCGATTTATATTATATACCAAAAAAATAAATAATCTGAATCGAAGTCCAAAGTTGCTCAAACCGACAAAATATTTTCTCTATCTCAACATATAAATAACGACACATGGATGTTCAAAGCTACGTGGCACCTGAAACCTCAAAATCTTGGATCCACGTCTGCTTTCGCGCATCGCATGTATATCTTTGTATATGCACAGTTTATAGAATTAGTGAAGAGAACATAGTTCTGGTTCTAATTTTATCTAGGCAACCCTACTTAGAAGATCCAAATACTGGAGTAGAAATGTTTGAGAGCGCAGACATTATGGAATATTTACGGCCAACTTGTGCTATTTAAAGGGTGAGACTTTCTGATGTTTCTTTTTTGTTTTCCTCAATGCCTCTGAATGTATATTAGTCTCTTTTCGTTCTCTATTTTGCTGGCAAAATTTTGTTTTTCAACATAGAAACATACTTTAGTAAATAACTTAATTGCAACTTTGTTCTACTTTTTGTTATAATTTGCTATAAAATCATCAGATTTCTTTTATGACCACAAAATCTCTCAACTTTTACTTTATTTCATATAACATCGTTCTTGCCATTTTCCAACCAACTTCACAAAAAATCACAACCATTTCGTTAGATTGTGTTATAGAGATTTCACTTTATTGCATAGTGTGAACAGTGAACTTATGTACCACTGCGATTGACTGTGATAACTTGCGTTATGGCAAAAATAATATTTCGTATTTCAATTTATGCGAACCTATTTCTTTTTTAGTTCGTGTCAAAAAGAATGGCATCTTTCCTTATTTGGAAACAATTTACCTTTATTCAATGATTTATAGCCACACAAAATATATGTGCCTCATTTTACACCACAAATTCAAAAGTCTTCTCTTTTTTTTTAAATTCCGTACCCAGTCAAATAAGTTCACATAAATTGAAACGGAGGGAGAAGTAGTAGTGGGTGATTTCTAGTCCCGTCAATGAACAGAAATAATGTCATTGTCAATATAGAAAACTGGGGTTGATAAATGTACAATTTCTAGTTAAATCCCATTATTGTTCTTTCATTTCTTCAAACTTGAACTACCTTATAGTCAATCATCGTGACCGCTGACCAATTCCAGGATCAATATTGGCAAAGAATAGTAGCTCATCCTTACACAGAAGAGAGAACGAAAGCAAACGCACAAAATATATATACACAAAGAAAGAAGGAACCAATATGAAATGGGAAAAAATAGACTTTTTTTTTCTTTTTGCGGAGAGTTTAAAAAAATATAGATTATGTACATGAGTTTAACTAATATCCTGAACACGGAAAAAATTTTGTTAGGGAGCGTTTCTCCCTTAAATAGGTCTTAAATGGGAATCCGAATTAATCGGGACACAATGCAGGTATTGGACATCTGATGGAAACAAGGAAAAAACTAATATCTACAAGAAAAAATATTACTATATACTAACTATGTAAAAACAAATTACACCATCAGTCATTTTTACCTATTTTAGCAAATATCCTGCATTATTTTCAAGATCATAACTATCATTTTTCATGCAGGATCACTTATAAATATCTTATGTGTGACCTGATAGTGTAAACAATTTCTTAATATCTCGGCTTAAACTCAATTAATAGTGTCAAACTCAATTATAAATTGGAACGAGAGAAAACGTGTTGGACCCTTCATAAGGTGTTATTTGAACAATTTACTCCTTATTAATAACAAAGAAGAAGAAGAAGAAGAAGAATATTGAACGCCAGCCCATGACTTGAAAATTGAATCATTGATTTATTATAGTATTTTGTATTTATATCTTAACTAGGCCCCTGGGGGAAAACCGATGGGACAAAGGAAAATGTAGTAGGACAGGGTGGAGGGGACTATATGTTTGTTGTTTGATCTTATAAAAATAGAAGCAAAATCTTACATATATCTAATTGAATGAGATGGGGAGACTCACCATGTTATATGTAAAGTACAACAAAATAGCGACATTGTTATCCAGGAACTAATTCAAAAATATCTTTTTGTCCTTTTTATCTATTTGTGATTATATTTTTAAAAAAAATTCGTTTGCTACCCCATTCGTTAAATATTTTCTTTCTCACGCAGCCGTGAACGTGGTAAAAACTTACAAAAAAGTTTGACAAAAACGGGACTTATAAATTTTCATCTTTACCTATATATTAATGGTGTAAATAATTTTTATGCTATCAATATTATTCTAACTTGTTGTATTATGTGACATGTCTTATTTTTTTCAAGTTATTAATCTTACTTTTTATAATAGTTACTTGTAATTATTACTTAAGTAATCCGATAATGTAAAAATTATTTTGCAATATTGGTGAATAAAGATTAAACTCCCTCATTTCTAGCTAGACTACTACCAAAGTTAATCAACAAAGACTGCATCCTTGTATGGTAAGAATCTCATTACCATATGTGAATCGCAATGTCAATTTCTGTCCTTCAATTTTTAATGGTGAGCTCCATAGACCATAATTGTGTTTAATTGTTTATTTGCGAAATAAAAATAACAACGTGGAAGCAGCGCCTTTGAAGCAGAATCATGTGCGTTCTGCCTTCGACAGTGTACGATTTAAGGTCTCTGCATATGCCATTGTCATTGTTTTCTCTTCTCCCTATGGGCATGTTGTTTGTTCCTCACAAATTTAACTTTTAACTTACCTTTATGGTTTGTTGATCTGCTGTGTTTAATTACCATATTTCCAGGTCATTACCTTATTGTTAATTAGAGCATGTTTGGCTAAGTTTTTGAGAGGTTAAAAGTATTTTTTTGTCGGAAAAATTTGATGTGTTTCACCAAGTTAGAGAAGTGCTCTTGAATAGCAGCAGAAGTAGTTTTTCTGCTTTTGGGAAGAAACTACAAATTCTAGCTTCTTCCAAGAATCAGAAATAGAAAATTAATTGTTTTAAGATAAAAGTATCTTTACTATAAATTTATATTTTTTTGAGTTATCCTTCATTAATTTAGCTTTTTTCTATTCCTTTTTTGCTTTTACCATCCCTTTTTATTTAATTTATTTTCATCAGTACTTTCCTTATTCTTCTTTGAAATAGATCTCTCTTTTATATAGGATTAACGAAGTAGATTTTTAATTTATACGGAATGATTATATTTAGATATATTTAGATATATTTAAATTATTATAAAATTTATAAGTAATGCTGGATACCTAATATTATTGCTTTGGATAATTATATTATTTTATATTGATTCAAATTTTTAATATATATTTTTACTTTATGTTTATATTCTAATTAAATAAAAAGAAAAAATTAATTTTTATAATAAATTTGTAAATTAATTTCTCTTTTAAATAGTATACAAATTGTAAACTCAATATTTATTATTTTTTTTTAAAAAGCATTTTTGAACAAAAGTACTCTTCAAAATAAGTGCTAATTTTTAGCGGTCGGTCAAACGAGCTCTTAGACAATTATTTATGATTATCGAAGTATAAAAGCTAAATCCTTTCCATCACTTTGAATCTTGGCAAACCCCTATCTCACTAAAGATGTTTGAGAGTTTCAAAATTTAATATAAATTTGTAAAAAGTAATATTTAATCTATATAATATTCCAGAGAAAAGTGTCCAAGTGATAATCCTTCGTTTAGTGTAGCTCCGCCCATCTACATGCACACCAATATTTTAACCCGTCCTATTATTCAAAGTTGTCCTAATTCCAAAGAAATCAATTACTAATCAAGAAACTTAAACTTCAGCCGTAATATCACAAGTGCGAATTCTAACTTATTTGACCGCTATTGTTTCCTCGGATGCTTTCTAATGTACCTATTAATTAAGTGAATATTCACACAAAGTAGTAATTATAAGTAGCAACTGCGGTGCTTAGGCATTGATGCACGATTATATATATTTTTAATAATGAATTTAAAAGTTTATCTGAAGCATTTACTAATATATGAAACTTATAAACTTTTGCTTTGCTAAGGTACTCAAGTAAAAAAACGATAGATTCTATTTCTTGTACGGATAATATTGTTAAAAATTAAAAAAGTATAGTATGTCAGTAGATTTGAACATACATATATTTTAAATATTAAAATTTAATAATCCCATAATTTATGCAGAAATTTATATATTTTGCATTATACTATCTACTTTATTCATAACAAAATTTACATTATAATTCTCGAATTACTAGTGCATGAACCAACAAAAATTGGAAAGAAAAAAAAAAGGTGCCGTTCTATTTTTACCTCAACTAGTGAAAAGTGCTGGTTGAAAACGAAAAAGAAAAAGTGAAAATTGCCGTCAATCTTACTGCCACGTCGGACTAACGACTTCACAGAGTGCAAATTTTAACCATCACTTAAGACTTTCGCTCCCGCCTTGTCAAGACTGGAATTCAATTTCTTCTATTGGGACCCACTTTCTGATCTGAACCCAACGCCTCTGCAACTACTACGCCGATTTCCTCGGCGGCCCAGGATCCCGATCTCCGGCCCGACTTGAACCGCATCATCCCTCCCAAACCGGCTGGCTCTGACACCCGTTCAACACTCACAGCGTTGCTCTTTCTCGGTTGAACCGGCTCTTCCGGTCTAGAATCATTCGTTGTCTCTATACTAGACTTGACCGGTTTAATGTTACTCCGACCAAACCGGAACATCGAAAGTACACGTGAATAAAATCCGGTTTTGCGTTTAGCGCCTCTGCTCTTTGATCTCTCGAGTGATATTTCACATTTTTTCACATCTTCACATGATTGCCGGCGGCGACCTTTCTTCGATCTTACTCTTCCAATACATGATACCTTCGGCGACACCGGTTCAGGAGCGGCAACTGCTTTCAATGCCGATTCAGACCGTTTAGTCGGGAAAAAACGTATATTGGCCGGTTTACACGTTTTTCGCTTCGAATCAACTGAGCTACTCTTCGGTAATCCGAAAAACGAAGTCGTCTTAGTCTTCAAAGTCAACGGAAGTCTTTGAGAGCTCGAATTCGAACTCGGATGAATCAAGTTCGTTGTGTGTGAAATGTTACCTTTGGCGGATTCTTTACGCTCCAAAACGGCGTTTCTATCAAACCAATCCAATTCGGCATCTTTTGGAAGACAGATTGATTCCGGCGGAAAATCCGGTGGAAGTTCCTTTTCGTCGTCGGGAATATCAGCGTTCTCCAGTTTGACGACGGTGACGTTCACCAGAGTTTCACATGCAATTTTCCGGTCACTATTGCCGCCGGCATAGGTAGGAACTGGTGGTTCTAAATCAATTTGAGGCATTATTGAGAGAGAGAGAGAGGGGGGGAGAGAGAGAGAGAGTATAGTACAGTTGAAAGGATTTTCCAAACTCTGAGGCGATTTGGGTCTGCGGACTGAAATTAGCTTTAGTGTATATATTTAAAAAGGACTGGCAAATAAATTTTAGTAAATAAAAGTTTTAAAAAACATAACATAATGGTTGCAAGTCTAATTCTCACTGTCCTTAAACAAATACAAAAAGTTAAAATAAATGTAACCAATAAATTCAAGGGGTATGTTATATAATCTGTTTGCAACTTGTACGTAGTGCTAACAATATTATATATTTTGTGAATATAAATACAAAACTTTATTGTAAATCGTTAGGAGTATTACAAAAGAAGAAATCTACTTTATAAAACCAGAATAAGATTACTTAAAATTTTGTACATATTAGAGGAAAATGAGTTGTAAAATGACAAATGGATCATGCACAAGGCATATTTCTTTTTATCATAAAAAAGGGAAACCAATTTTGCACTACATATATAAAAGTTAGTGTTTAGTGTGTATAATGATTCAAAATACTAACACAAAGAATATCTTATAAATTGGCTACCAAAAGCATATAGGACTCTAAATAAATATGCACTTAACTTATTGGCACTTAATATTTATATAAATGTATGATATAATTTCAGCTCTAGTCAATTGATATATGTATTGTCACCTTATTTTACTACTTAACTATGGTAAGTAATTTTCTATAAAATAATCCTTTCTTGTTTGCGTAAAGTGAAGTTTTATTTTGTTTTTTGGTTTGGAAAAAGAAAGCGGGGGAAAGGGAACTTCAAAATCTCTTTGAACTTTCACAATGATTTCCTAAACTTTCGTTCATTACTTGTTATACTACATTTTAACTGACATGTATTAAGTGTGTGTAACAACTAATGATCGAAAGTTTAGGAAATCATTCTAGAATGAACGAGGGTTTAGGAAACATACGCAAAGGTAAAAGTATGTTTTTATAATTATTGTGTCCAGGTCAGCTTGCGCGCATCTAGAAAATATTTTTTATCTTCTATCTGCATAGGTACCGAGTAACTCTATTGATGTTTTAACTTCAATACCCCACAAGAGAGGGGGTGATTTATGTAGTGTCCAATTTTTCGCGTGCACAGATTATAGAAGGACCTGGTTCTTCTATGTATTCCTTATATTACTGTTGCGGAATAATAAATGTAGAAATTTAAGAACACAAGTATTTTACGTGGAAAACACCTGACTCAAAAGGTGAAAAAATTACGACCTACTTCCCAGTAGGATTTTTTCAAACTCTCCACTAAATCACTAAGCCAAAAACTGCATTTACAAAATACTTTTGTAAACCTAGGATTAACTCTAATCCCGTTATGGCAACCAGCCTCTAACTGCTGCGACAACTTCAAGTTAACTCTAACTTGAATACTCTGAGTACCTATTACAATTGCCTCTAGATAAAGCTGAAAGGTACAATATGAAAACATCTACTACAATTGAACTAGAATAAAAGACAGACACTTGGAGCTGGTTCTTCTATCTAGTTCATGTAGCTTCAGGTTCGCACACTTGAATCACACACGAACTGTTTACAAAATGCCTTGCTATTTTGCTCTCAATTCACGTTTAACTTCTGCTTTTGTATGTCCCATGTAAAATGAGAACATCCTATGATTTATAGAGTTAGTAGAGTAAAAAATAACTAGTGTTGTAATGCTACTCTTCCTTGGTGGAAGAGTTCTAGTTGATCTCAACCTCTAACTCATCTCTTACCTTGGATAGTGTTCTCTTTGATTAAGGAGTCCTTCTCTTTATCAATTATGCAACCCTTTTCGATCAGGAGATATTAATTAGACCAAGTTAAGCTTATCTCCTTCACGTATATCCCATATGCTCGAATCTGCCCGTGTCTATGCACACAAGGGATGGACTCGGTTCATGCCTGAGCTTCCTTTGTCAATCTTCAAAACTAACCTTCACTTAGGCCAACAAATTCCCCTTTTTTGATGATGACAAACTCTGTGCTTTTCATAAGCTTAGGCCCTGTTTCAACTTAGCCCAACATCAACACAACGTTAGAATAATTTTCACTTATCATAAAGGACCAGGTTCATTAGGTTATAAACATCATTGTTCAAAGTGTAAAGCACAACCGTTTTCCCCATTTTGGCCTCATCGAAAAGTTGCATAAAAATGTGAGATAACCAGATTTTAAAACTTATTCATGGCCACTTGGGCTACTTCAAATGCAATCATGGATTAATCATCATAGATCAAGCTAAGAATTTTAACCATCAAAGAAATATAAACAAACAGTTAGAGCAAAAATAATGAATTTCATTGATGATTGATACAATTCTTCCACAAAGCATAAAAAGAAATAAAAATACTGAAAACATGAGCAAACAAAAAAAAATCCCAAACTGGGTCACTGAAAGATCTACACTGGGCTAGGAGTTTAAGGTTTGGAAGAACTAGGTGTTTGGTTTTTGGCTTGGAGGAGTTTCAGCATATCCTGAAGAATGTCATCATTCTTCTCCTTTTCTCTTGCCAGCTCAGTACTGAGAGCATCTCTCTCAGTCTCCATCTCAAACAACCTTTTCTTCAGCCTCTCAATCTCAGCATCCTTAGCCCCACTTTCTTGCACCAAGGCTCGCACCTTGCTATTCACTGGTACCTTCTTAGATGAACCAAGTTCTTTAGGAGTGACATGGACTTCATAGTCATAAGAAGGCAGCATATTTGCCCCCAAAATGATCCTTGATTGTACCAACCTCCCTTTCTTCTTTGGATTATAACTTTCAGTCACTCTCTTCAGTAAGTCTGCGAGGGTTTCCTGTTCAGATGAAACAGGTTCATCTATATTTTTCTCAAGTTGAACCAGCGCTTCAGCGGCTTCGCCAGACCCACTTCCCCATGTTTTCTTTACACTCTCCTCTACTCCAGTAGATTTTTCTCCCCAAACAACCATTGCACCTGTGTCTGGTTAAACTCACAGGAGTGGGTGTAGAATCAATTATTCTTTTACCCTTTCCCCTCACAGCACTTCGAACACCATTGCTCTTTTTTTCTTTTTCTTTTTTTTTTACCACCAATTCCTCCAGACTTTGTAGTTTCAACACCTGCTTTAGACCCTACTATTACAAACCTATTCTTCAAATCTGTACCTGTTCAATTTCATAAGAAACAGTTTCTTCCCCCTCAGTAGCAGATTTGAATGATTCATCAGATTTCTGGGGTTCTTCTTCCTTACCCGCTTTCAATTTTTCATTTATTTTCTTGATTTGTTCTCTCCCCCCAATAACCTTGCGAGAAAGCATCTATACTCTTTTCTTAGAGGTTGGGGTGGTGGAAGGGATGATAGTGGGTGTGGAAGTCTAATTAAACTGAATTTCAGTTTTGAAAAGACTTGGAGTGTATCCCTAGAATCTAGGTACTTCAATTCGGTTGGGACTCTTTTGAACAGAACTGATTCACTTGTAACGGATAAGTACAAAAGGAGTTTGGAATTAAGTAGGACTTTGCTCATGACCCAAATATTATTATTTCAAATTATGCAGAGTGTAGAAAATATATCGTGTTATCTTGATGAACCAGGTTCTTCACTGATAATTCTCTTGTGTAAATCTAAATTTGCCAAAATAGAGAAAATATCATTAGAGATTAATGAGTCATTTTAACATATGGAACAAGAGTATACTATTGAAAGTATGAGTCTGAGCAAAAATTAATCTAATTATATACACATTTTCAGATTTTCTAACCAAAAGCAAAAACAAAATCAATTTTTTTTCGTTGTAAATTTTGAACTGGTCCTTTTAGGTGATCTTAATCATCCCTAATTCTAACATGTTCCTTTCAAAGTGATCTCTACTTAGGGCCTTTGTGAAGATGTCAGCTATTTTCTTGTCAGTAACACAAAATTCCATAGTGATCAACCCTTTTTCATAGTTATCCCTCAAAAAGTGATGTCTAACATCTATGTGCTTAGTTCTCTTGTGGTGAACCGGGTTCTTGGTCATACTAATAGCACTAGTGTTATCACAAAAATGGGAATACAACCAACATCAATTCCAAAGTCCTTTAATTGATGTTTGATCCACAACAATTGAGCACAACATGAAGCAGCAGCAACATACTCAGCTTCAGCAGTAGATCATGCCATTGAATTTTGCTTTTTGGTGGCCCAAGATATAAGACATGAGCCAAGAAAGTGTGTCATACCTGAGGTGCTCTTTCTATCCATAAGAAAGCTTGTATAATCAGCATCAGCATATCCCACAAAATTGAAATTACTACCTTTTGGATACCATAGACAGAGATCAGTGGTGCCTTTTAGATATCTCAAAATTCTCTTGACAGTAGTCAAGTGAGACTCCTTCGGATTTGCCTGAAATCTTGCACAAAGGTCTACACTAAAAACAATGCCAGGTCTACTAGTAGTGAGATACAACAATGAACCAATCATTCCCCTATACAACTTTTAATCAATAGATGAACCAGGTTCATCTATATACAACTTCTGATCAATAGATGAACCAGGTTCATCTATATCCAACTTTGTAGCTTTTGCAATAGGAGTGTCAATTTCTTTAGAATCTTCCATTTTAAACCTTTTAAGTAACTCTTTTACATACTTCTGCTGATGAATAATAGTTCCATTTGAATTTTATTTAATTTGTAAGCCTAAAAAGAAATTAAGCTCACTCATCATGCTCATTTCAAATTCACTCCTTATTAGTTTAGCAAACTCTTTACTAACTTATCAGTAGTTGCTCCAAAGATTATATCATCAACATATATTTGAACTACCAAGAGATATTTATATTTTTCCTTCAAGAACTAAGTATTGTCAATTTTACCTCTTTTGTAATCATGCTCAAGCAAAAACTTTGATAATCTTTCATACCATGCTCTTGGCGCCTGCTTGAGCCCATAAAGTGCTTTGTCAAGTTTGTACACATGATCAGGACTCTCCTTGCTTTCAAACCCCGGAGGTTGCTTGATAAACACTTCTTCCTTTAGATAGCCATTGAGGAAGGCACTCTTGACATCCATCTGGTGAAGGGTAAATTCCATGTAAGCAGCAAAGGCTATGA